CACAGGCGTTTCAGCTTTATTTTCATTTCTTTTTTGTTGTGAGTTGTATATATTTCTGGTTATAATTCTATAAGAATATTTTAGTTCAAATAGTCACTTAGATTTTATGTGTAAGGTAGCTAAAGTTAGGACCACGTATTAGTTGTTTTGGTAGTGTTTAAATATTCGTTCAAAGTGTAATTTAATCATATAGGATGAATGTACGATGGCCCATCGAAAAGGAGTAGAAGCGGTAGACAGAACTTTAAGAGATATAAGACAAAATGATCGACCCATGGGCGGTATCACAGTTTTATTTTGTGGTGATTTCCGACAAACCTTAACGGTAATACCACGGGGAACCCGAGCTGCTAAGGTTAGGGCTTGCCTGAAAAGCTCTTATTTGTGGTGTGATATACAATCGGTGCATTTGACTATAAACATGCGAGTGAGAACTGTAGATAACCCGGATGATCGTGAATTTTCTGATATATTATTAAAGAAAATACCTAAAGATAACTATCCTCTGCTACACCAAGGAAAACTTATTCTGACGCCTGAGTTATGTTGTATAGTGCAATCCCAACAACATCTTACATCGTCAGTTTACGGTGACGTAACAAATATATTAAATAAGAACAATTCTTAGCTATGCGAAAGGTCCATTTTAACTCCTCGCAATGACCAGGCATCTGAGATTAATAATAAAATACTGTCGAATATCCAGGGGGAAAGCAAAGTTTATAGTTCAATAAATAGAATGGCCGATGAACAAGAAGCCACTAATTACCCGATAGAATTTTTAAATTCTTTAAATATGCCCGTACTTCCTTCTCATGAAATTTGTTTAAAAATTGACATTCCGATTATTCTGCTCCGAAATTTAAGACCACCACAACTTTGCAATGGAACTCGGCTTAAAGGCTCAAATTTTAATAGGTTGCGGTGTAGGAGAAACCATCTTTATTCCCAGAATTCCCATAATACCAAATAATGTTCCATTCCAATTTAAAAGAACGTAATTCCCAGTATCGGTGTGTTATGCAATGACAATAAATAAGGCTCAAGGGCAGACCTTTCGTGTTGTTGGAGTAGATCTCGGTGTCAGTTGTTTTTCACATGGTCAGTTATGTCGGTCTTTCCCGGGTTAGCAGTCCTAGAATTTTTTATGTTCACGTTCCGGACGGGTCAAATTTCAACGTAGTCTACGCGGAAGCTTTGCGCTGAAGTATTTTCATTCTATATGTACTTCAGACTCATGTGAAAGCGATCTAAACAATATTACCAATACATTAACATAATAACATACAAGGAGTTACACGCTGATGGTCTCGGGGCACAGTGATAATAATAATATTCTGCGGTTCCTTATTGCGATATTTTTAACAGTATTATATTTCCCTACTAAAATACGAAAGTTAATCTGTCTGTCACATCAAAACCACGGAACCCTGAGGAAGGACATATGCTACTTTTTTACGAAAAACGACGATAATGCGGGCGAAGTCGCGGGCAAAAGCTAGTTGTAAATAAAATCATTACTATTCTCAATATAAGGTAAATGGAAATGGTAACAATCCATCTTTGTCCAAACCAAAAATCCGTTTCATCTTGCTTTGACGGAGCACCGTCCGTCCGTCCTTCTAACGCTCCATCATTTCATGGGTCGCCCTTAAATATTCAAGGGTGGCGTCGGTCGCACCTACAATAATTAATGATTAAAACTTATCAGCGTGGAGCACTTGGATTAACGGCCGCTGCCACAATATTACCATTGTTTATGACCATCCCTTAGATTTTAAGCACTGTAACCACATCATAAAGGATGGACATATTGAAATTGTATATCTTTCCCTTGTTTGGTCTTAGATCAGAGAGAAATAACAGTATCTTCTTGGTGGTGATGTGTTTCTGTCAATGAGTTAGGTTACAGGGCTCCACGGAGTAGGAGATTGGGTCGGGGTAGACATTTTTTTTTTGTTGAAGTTCTCCCGTTTTATGGAAGGCAAAGGGAACAATGCCCATACAGCCTGGGGGCCAATCGCCTAACTGGATTGCTTTGGAAAACGCTATCGCTTACGATTTCATTTTGTTATTTCTAGCCGCCTGAGGTTTTCAAATGCCTCGCGCTCTTTTTTTTTCTTTTGCATTGGTAATAACAATGTTAAAGAAAAAGAGCGTGAGGTATTTCGGCGGTTAGAAATAACAAAATGAAATCGTAAGCGATAGCGTTTTCCAAAGCAATCCAGTTAGGCGATTGGCCCCCTGGTCTTTAATTAAATTAATCTTCTTTTTGTTTTTACATTAGAATATCGGTGTGACGCATTCTAATGTTTCTTGGAGTGTTTGGCACGAAATGTATCGAGTTGGCTTTTTCGATAAGCTTCTGTGAGGTAGTCAACACTACAATAAAATTCTCACGTCCCCTTGACCGGAATAGCGTATATTTTAATGATTGCACTAATTCTTCAGTTACGCAGACAGTTGTTACACAAAACCACACCAATTTTATTTCACAATATCCACTATGAACGAATTTAAGAATAATTAAAATAAGACGCCAACCGCACTCGATGAAATCCCGCCAAAAACCCTCGGGGTAGACAATGCGAGCAGTGTTGCCAGGACCGATTTTTAAAAATCGGGAGCTGTTATAGAAAAATGCAGTGGATGTATGGAAACAGTAACAAAAGAAAAAAACAGTAGTTGCAGAGCCGTACTCTTTCCGATTTACCCTTTACTCCCCCCCCCCCCCTAGAATTGGTAAATCAAATCAAGATATAAGCCAGTAACGAATGGGTTTTTGTGTGGCTTCTGCCGCTCCTCAAAGCTTGTTTTATTATGCTACCTACATTCTTGATTCTTGAGAACTCAACATGCAATTTAAAAATGAAAATTATAAAATCGGGAGACATGGTAATCCCGGGTGCGAGTGATATATGCTATGACGACCTCCGTGGTCGAGTGGTTTGTACGCCGGGTTTCATGGTGTCGCCGACCTAGAGGTCCCGGGTTCGATCCCGGTGGAGGCAGATCTTCTTGTGATGAATACGAGAATTTGTACTCCAGTCATGGATGTTTAATATGTATTTCTATAAAAAAATATATATACTTACATAATTATGTACAGTATAATGTATTCTATCCGTTACCCTAGTATCCCATAACACAAGCCTTACAGTGCTTAGTTTGGGGCTAGACTAATTGGTGTGAGTGTTGGAAATATTTATATTTATATTATTTATATGGTGGCCGCTTACCATCAGCGGGATGTACGCTTGTTTGCCCTTAAAAAGAGATAAACTTCACAGTACTACAGGACTTTGTACGGCGAGATTTTAAAGGACCTCAACCCGAGGAGTTTGGAACGCTCTAGAGGTTTTCTGGGAGGACAGCCACTCTCTGCGAAGGTGAAATTTGCCCCCACGTGTTGATACGTTAAGCTCGGGTTATTTCTTCAGGAGTAATCGGCATAGTCTAAGACATGTGTAGGAAGGCCAAAGGGGAAGATCTTCCTCCGAGCTGGGTGATGGTAGCTCGGGGGTCGCGGCCCGACTGATGTTGGTCGGGCATTGTATATATGAACTGTTGGCTACCGAATTTCACTTGCGCGATGTAGGCTTCCTTACGTTGTGAACGCAGCGCTGGTAACGCCATCTCTTGAAGAGGCGACTGATTAATTCCTCTATGTTGGTTATATGTGGGGCATATAGATGTCGCCGCCACACATGCTTAGGCTGACGAAATCAGAATATTATTGGTAAGTTAAAATGAGCCTTATAAGAAGCTTCGGAGTCACTCTGGAACACATAGGAATGGAAAGCACGATATGCACCGAGCATTTGTTTATATGATCAAGTTAAAAATAAAACAATTTAGCGATATAGCTCATCATCATCAGCCTATTAATGTCCCCATTACTGGGGCACAGGCCTTCCCTAGCAGGATAGGACAGGATATAGCTCAATGGTTCGCTAAATGCTACAATGGCCATCTGTAAATGGGTCGCTAAAAGTGACAATGGTCTCAGTCCTCCCCATTATTTAGACTCATGACATCATACTAGTCAGGCAGCTCATTGGATGTGGATGAGTATGATCGCTGTATATAGAAGGCCTCTAGAGAAGGCTGTAAGTCCAGCATTGAGTGTTCACTGGCTGATATCAGATTGATAAAATGGTGATACGCTCATTAGCGATTGCCGCAGTTTATGCGAAATCACAACGCAGTGGTTATGGCGGTCAACTGAAATTTATACAGACTTTTAATAATATTTCATACGCAATAAATTGAATAAGTGACGTCGTTTTCGAGATTTTTTATCGCATCGTGCTATGTGTGAATCGATTGTTCTAACTTGATTCATAATGTTCTCTACTGATATTATTGCTTACAGCGTTTTAATCTCTTATCAGATTTTGTTATCTTATATATAAAATTCTCTTGTCACAATGTTAGTTACCATACTCCTCCTTTTTTGGACAATATTTATTTTTTTGTAAAGTGGTATTAAAAAATACATACAACCCTAAATTTTCTCTTCTACCACCTGCCCCTATTTTTATGGCGGTATGAAGTTCGCTGGGTCAGCTAGTATGTAGATAAATTGTCAAGTATTTTCCCAGATTATTCACAGATAAAAAAAAATGAAACACGCTTTAAATTTCACATGTTTAATGAACAATATTTCAAATATTTTGTTTTTTTGTATTGTTCAAAATTGTATATGTATAATAGATAATATATTTATTTAATAGAATGCTTTACAATTTAGATACAAGCCCTGTTTACTCACTGTGTAAGCCTTATTAGCTACATTGCAAACATAAATTTCCTTTCAGACACCGCGTGAATTATCTTCTTATTACAATTAGGTACTTAATTTTTTAAAGATATATATAAACATAGTTGTATTTCTGCTATGTATTGACGTCATATGCCGTTTTACAAAATTATCGGCATGATAGTAAACTAACTCAGAATTCCATTTGCCTAAACCAAATTCCTGAATGTTAATGTATCTTTTTGTATAACAAAAAAATTTTTTGTGTATCATTTTATAAGTATAATTTAAATATGTTTCACCAGCTAATGTAACGTACTGTCTGAATGGAAAATTATCTGGTATACATACGATCAAATTTTTAGTTGCAAAATGGTTGTATATCAAGTGACTTATATTTTTATTTATTTTAAACGATCTGGACTTTTCGTTAAGAAAACAAGTTAATGCTTCTTCAAAAATATAACCTGAATAGCGTGAACAACATCTGTGTTAGGCTATGTTCTTTCCAACGCTATCTGAATCAAAAACTAAAGTGAAATTGTTGTAGTTTCGGAATTAATGAACTATTTTCCACATCAATTCGTCCGTACCAGGGCTTGTTTACCGGTTAATTTTCAAACGTAAATCAGTGTCAAGTACATTAGGAGCGTTTTATTTAGATTTGGCTCTACCTTAACCTTAAAAAACCGGTTTTCCTAAAGAGCGAAATCAAATAGGTTTTGAATCAATTTACCGGTTTTTAAAGGGTTTCATTTCGCTCTTTATGACGGCATCGATGATAAATGAAGAACTTGACTCACTAGACGCTAGCAAACGTGTCAATAAATGCATCAATCTCAAGCATTAACAAGTTGTGACTTGATTAGTTCAAACAAAACAAACTTCAAGCGATGCCGACGCGTGCACGTGTCGCTCTGGATTAAACCTGTTTATTAAGGTTTTAGGACGCGCTTTCATTTCGGACGCGCTCCGAACGAAACCTTTGCTAAAAACCGGTATTAAAATTTGTTTACCGGTATTTTCGAAACCGGTTTCAAGCCCTGGTCCGTACCAATGTTAAAAAGCATAATAGCGAAGAAATAAAATAAATATAATAAGAATAACAATACGAAATACAAAAAAAAAATTACTTGTGCAAATTGTCTGTGACTTAATCCATAGAAAAGTTACCGACAGACTTCAGACACGATAAAATCATAAGGCAAATGATGCAGACTTAATTAAGTATAAAACCTTATACACCCTCTGTGGTCCACTAGATTCGCTCTTTAATTTATATACAATCAGCATAATAGCTCTTTCAACTCTACTCCCAAAAAGATAATGACAGTAAAGGAAAACAAACAAAATAGTCCAAAGTCAAAGACTGGAGGAGAGTTATCACAAGTTATATCGTATTACGTTAAATGAAATTACTCAAACGGCTTTGGGAAGAAATATACAAATCTCCTAGAACTTAGAGTTAAGACTGTTGTTCTTTTGTGTGTATTTTAAACTTCATCGATAACACAAATACATTTTTAATAGCAACCCTTTTGTTCATCTTGTTTCTAGCTCAAATTAATTCCATAAATTTTGAATATGAACAGAAACTTAATGAATTAAAACTATGTCTTTTTCAATGTCAACGGGCTATCTTTATATGAAATTAACGAATTGTGCGTGGAAATATTAATCAATGCACCAACTATTTATAGTTTAACATATTTTAAACTTAAGAAAATATAACTAGAAAAAATTCCACGTGGACCAGGCAGCAGATAGGGACTCAAATGGCCTTGCAGCTTAAGAATGGCTAGAGGAATTTCGACACGGTCCGTGAGGGCCGCGGTAGCATAATTGGTCAGTGCATTCGCCCGGATTGCGAAGGGTGCGGGTTCGAGTCCCGTCTGCTGCCTGGTCCGCGTGGATTTTTTTTCTAGTTATATTAAAACTTAAACTTTAGATTTAAACTATAAGCAGTTACATGCTTTAAAAAAATTAAAATTATAATATTTTAAACTTCTTTAAAGGGTGCCTTAACTTGATTGGGTTTTTTATCTATTCCTAAGTGAATTTAATTATGTAACTCCATCATCTTTTTATGAGTAGATTGTTTGAAAGGCATGGAATTTTGAAACTTACAGTTTAAATTATGCTAGCAAACACAGGCGATGCTGTGAAATTATATTAACTCAGCCCTTCTGCCTAATTGGAACGAGGTAATTTAATTTTAGAGGACACCTTGTTAGTGTCTTTAAAACTAAAATTATTTACAATATTCAGCATGATTTAAGTTTTGTGCTATCTACATATACATTAAATTTATTGCATTTCATGCGTACCTATAAAAATTGTGACTAACATTTTTTTAAACAATAATGTTTATATTTTATCATAACACAAAGCATTCACAAATATTTTTATTAAATTTCAATTCATTGCCCATAATTATTAAAAAATTTAAAACATCAAGGGTCCCAAATTTAGACATAAAATGTTCTTTAACTTAACGTATAATGAAATTAAATATAGCTTTGCAACGAAAACTTTAATTTAATGTTAACACATTGGCTTTTCCTTAGTTTGAACCTAAAATTTATATATTACTGTTTAACACAAAAATTGTGATGTTCTTTCGTGGAAATATTTTTTTTTGCATTCTATCTACCTTATTTATTTTATATTATTTATTTATCTATCATAAACATAGTCGCATTTTATACATTTAAAACAAATATATAACACCAATAATGAAAGAAGGTGCCGATGATATGTTTTCTAGTGATTGTATATAACTGTTAAGATATAAAATTATTAACGCTACTATTTAAACCTTATTTACATTTAATGATAAATCTCACTTTTACAATTGAGAAAGAAATTGTTTTATTTATTTATTTTTTCGCACTTATCACAAAATGTCCAATCAGTTTTGCAATTAAAAGTGTCTAGATTTAAACATCTTGTAGTTAAATGCTTAAAAAAAAAACAAAATATATCATTAAAGGTGTTGTCAATTTTGCAGCTGAGGTAAAGACAGACAGTTACACTTGCACAGAGAATGAGGTTATTTTTTGCAATTTATTATCTGTAGCCTGGTAGCTCATCTATTAAAAAGCATTTCACAATAGGAGTGGTCGTAATACACAGTATGCTTTAGCTGCAAATTTATCTTTACACATTATTTTAGTTAGCAATGCCAAACGGCTCAATATTATTATTCCATCCAAAGGGGAGGCTTGTGCCCCAGGACATTAATAGGCTGACGATAATGATGATGAATTTTAGTTACAAATCTAAACAGTGAGGATGGTGAACCAAAATGATCAAACTGAACATTTAAAATTATAATGAACGAATATTTAAATTTCTTATTGTAGGTAAATAAAAACAAGTTCTTTCTCAGATCTAATGGACAGTAAACGCATTGCATTTGACTTATACGTTCACGAGTAACAAGTCCTGATGATTCTTCATCGTGAGTATTAACATAAACGTTTTGACAGAAAACGAGTTCTTTTGATCGATAAAGTCAATTTTACGTCGACTTCAGAGAATATTTATCTTTTGTTAAAACTCACGATTAGAACGCAGTTCAAATTATCTTTACTATTCATACTGGATATCATCACTTTCACTCGACTTTCAATTGTAAAGACTGAATGATAAAAACTAAAATTAATTTTACATATTTTGTACTTCAATTAGTACTTAATAAGAAACAAGTATTAATATTAAAATATAAAATGTTTCAAAAACAAAAAGAAAAAAAACAGCAAAAATTTGAAGTAAATATCAAAGGGGATCTGGAGCAAAACAGGAAATTTGGATAAATATAAAACATTAAATTCTCATGATATGTTTGTCAGCTGAAATTACTATAGAAATCGAGTCAAAGTGGTTTTAGACTATAATCTAATTCGTGATAGGCAACTATATACTAAAATGTAAGTGAAAATTAAGTGTTAACCGTATATAAGCTAACTTACAATTATCACGGCCTTTGTATATTGATCTTAAGACAATACATTAGATTACATACCATTAACATAGAGTTATAGCACTGTGTCCTATCCTTTATCTTCATTAGCAACAGTTAGTCCCGTAAAAGCAGTACGCTATCTCACTTTAGTTTCAGTAATAATATAATGCCTCAAATAGTCTATATTATTAAAACATACTTAATAAAAAAAAGGATCTTTATTGCCGATCAAATTTAAACTCATAGGTATCTTGTTCGGCTTCGATAGATTAAAGTTTTCCTCTTCTACTATATTAAAAAAATTACACGGTACTATTTAAATTTATTATTACAAGGGAAAGGGACAGTATTAGCGTTTTAGGAAAGAAATCCTTAGTATACTATTGGTCTCGTTGGTTTCAATTTTACTTTAACGGTAGTACGAAATTTGTTAATGAGTTTTTATTATGTAGAAGCTGATGATTTCCTTTTTTCCACTTTGTCCTCACGTAGTTTGCTTTCATCCAGAGATTCAATCTTATGGTCTCTCAGTAGAGGTGTTCTAGCGTCAATTTTTTCTTCACTTTTACCAATATAACGTTCATTTTTAAAGTTGTTGACTCTGATAGTGTTATCGCTTTCTAAAGATTCTTGTCTAATCGATACTTTACTACTTTTAGCACTGTCTGTACGTTGATCTTCAGTTTTTTCTTCATGGAAAGCCATATTGTCGAAGCATTGCGCTGGGACTATATTAACAGACTTCATCATTGGTAACGCGATGGCTAGAGCAGGACTCATATCTCGTGGACTCGGGCTTAGTCGAGTTGTAACTGAGAGATCCATTCCTGGCATCAGTGTTGCGACTGTTAGAAATAAAATTTATGTAAATATTCGAGAAAGTAGTCTAAAAATACAAAATAAGTAGAATTCATAATAAATCAATTGACAACCATGCAATTTGCATGCTTATTAAAGAAACACCGATTTAATAATCTTGATGTATTATAAAATGATGTAGTGTTAAATGAATGTTTATAAATAATGAGAGATAGGTTTTAATGAACAAATTCCATCAGAAATAAAGTTGATTAAAAGAAAGTTTATGGCCATAGAAAAGTGCTTAATGCTAAACATACCATTTTCGAATTGGAAGTTCATATTGTGTTAAAAATATTTTCTTATGAGAGACATTTGCTCCAATTAGAACGTGTAACGACACCAAATAATAAATATATACAGGGTATACTATACATCTATTCACACTTAATAATAGGTAATTACTATAATTATGTTAGTGTGTTATGAATTTAATTTTCAAAGTGTACCACAGTGTTGGGTGATGAGATCGATGCTTCAGTTGGTGTGGTATTGTTTTGATTGATTGCTGTTCTGTGATGGTATGGTAATCTAGGGCAGTAGCCTGAAAAAATTACGATTAGGTACTAAGACATACTAATAACCAGGCAAGGTCTAAACTTTATAAACTGTCACTCTATATTTATAAAATAAAATATTTTAAGGAACAGCTCATAGACACTGAAATAAAGGAAGAGTGCAAACGTCACATAAAGTTACTCTAAGGGATGTTAAGGACTTGGATCAGTCTAGAAATCATCTACGACGACATCAAGATAAAAGCAGCAAAGCAGCTACCAGCACGGGACTTCCACACAACGTCAAAATAACCTCGAACCTTGCTTCCCAACCAAACTGGTCGGACCTAGCCGGCTCCATTGGTGTTGCTGAAGATATTGTTGGTTTGTGCAATGATGATGATGAGTTGAATGACGATGATTTGTTAGTGACGACTAAAGATTTAGTAGCATTCCTGTAAGCTAAGTCCGTATGTGCAGGCGATATATAAAGCCCGTTTGTAGTCTCAACGGCGCCGGTATCATGTGTTGCTTTCTAAAGCATGTTTAAATTTTTTCTTTTGCAGTTGTTTGGTGTTGTTTGGATCATAGCTTCAAGCTCGCTACGATCACCATCTGTGGAGGATTACATTGCATAAGCTACAGTCATGGTTCCAATATTGGGTTATTACACAATTAGAGAAAACAGTCGTGACTCTGATGTCTATATTTTTTTTCCAAAATTTGGGTCTGTTATCTCTAATTATGTTCAGTGTTAATAGAGTTATAACTACATGTTTATCTTGTTGGAATCCATTAGTAACTCATTAAATTATATTTTTTGAAGAACTATAACTTTTAGATTAAAGTCTAACTAAGCACTGATGAACTCCGACATAGTTTAAAAACAATTAGCACCCGTTTGATTGAAACTTTTTGATGCTAATCATTTCATTTTCTTTGGATCGTTTATTTAGATAATAGCTTTAGTCAATGTTTAAATGTTGTGTATTTGATAATTGTTAAGATTATTAAAAAATTGACAGTGAGATATACCGAATGTTGTTGCAGCAATCTGCGCAACCTTGCTGGACAAAAGCTGCCCTAAGAAACTTTCATATAATTGTTAAATACAGCAATATTATGATCAACTAGGCAGTGATTTCATACACTTAAAGTGGTGTTACTACAAGTGGATAATACCAACCTTAGAGACTAATCAAACATATCATTTTGTCGGAAACGTCAAAGTTCTTTTTCATCAAATTATTAAAATATCAGACTATAAGATTGGTTTTATTATGACAAAATTGATTTCTAAATTAATTACATTAGTATAATATGAAGCTACAAGATTCATTTGAAATTGTTCTGAAGTTTGAAACCACTTTCATGTTATGTGGTTCTTAGAGATAAAATGTTTACTTACCCATGTTAGGTCCCATCATATCTTTGGGATGGTTTGATTTAATTGCATTCATCCTACGATTTATTGCTTGTGGAGCCATCCCTGGCGGTAAAGGCCCTGTCCCGGGTGCTCCAGGCGCGCCTGGCGTGCCTAGTACAAAGTAATTTGAACTTTTTAAATGGCACGAAAAATTTTAGCTGAACAAAACATATATTTTGACAATATTAAAAATCAGTTGTGTGGGAATTTTGCAGGTATTACAGATTTATTATATCTGTCCTTTCCTCTTTGATACCCTGCTGACTCTGCAAGGAATATTAAAGTAGTAAAGATGTGTGTGATGAAATTTGGAAACAACGTGTCTTTGATTAATACATAAGAATAACAGCTTGAACGAAATTAAAGTATTTACTCTGTGTTCAAGGCATTTGTAATACTGACTGAAATATCAGACACTCGCATAAACAATTGTAGCAGAAAACATCATTGCAGATGTTGGTATTTTAAAAGACTTAAAAAAAGCAATTGGGGTTATAATAATACTAACGCATCGGAGGTCTCGTAGGTTCAACGTTGATGACTCGCCGCCGTTTCTTGGGCAACTTCGCCCTGGCCTGTGTGTGGGAGTAGTACATAGCGAAGTTGGAGACGATGACTGGTACGGGGAGAGCTATCGTCAGTACCTGTAGATATTGGTCATGCTATTATTGTAAGACATTGTAGACAACCTTACGAATATTCAAAATTCAGAAGTGACTTTGCCTGTATGTTTGTGAGTCTCTCTATATGGCTGTGAGTCTGTTTGCCTGATACTCTTTGTCGCCCAACGATGAAAAGTCAAAGCCCAAACCAACTAAAAGAACTTTACCAAAATCCGGATTGGTGATCTAACGGACCATGGAAAAGGAATTATGCTGGTTTTTGTAGAAGAAATAACACTTGATAGAGAACAAAAGTTATAGAAAATCGATTATTTTGCTCAGATGAAGTCGCAGGCACTGGGAAGTCCAGTATTCTGTTCAGATGAAGTGCCAAATATATAGAAGAAGAAGGTTATATAAATTATTAATAAATTCGAAGAAGTTATTTATTAAGTTGTTAACTATGACGTTTTATTGCTGGAGGGTTTGAAATTATATCTTACTATAAATTCTAGTCATTGTAAAAAAATTAATATGAGTGTCTTTATTAAAAATATAAAAATATGTTATTTATTTGATAAGCTATTCTGTGAATTTGAATAGATACAGTAAAAAGTTAAAATCGTTTTTCAAGAACAAAGGACTGAAAAAGTTCGTTTATTAAAAATATAATACTTACACCAGCCAACGCACACAAGGCACCAACAAACATCCCCACATAAGTCTTCGGCGCCATATCACCATACCCTACAGTTGTCATGGTAACCAGCGCCCACCAAAGTCCCAGAGGGATACTATTAAAGTCATTGTGAGGATTCGTTTGTATTCTCTCCGCGTAATACACCAAACTCGCAAAAATCACTATACCCAGCACTAAGAAAAACACCAATAATGTCAATTCTTTGGCAGACGCCCTAAAGGTCTGGATTAAGATTTTGAGACCCGACGAGTGTCTGGTGAGCTTGAATAATCTCATGATCCTGATTATAGAGAAGAACTCCAGAATGTCAGCGTTCTCGACGTGTGAGGCGTACTTCTGGAGGATCAGATCGATGTAGAAGCTCATGGTGGCGATGTAGTCGATGATGTTGACCGAAGATTTGACGAATTCGCACTTGTTAGGAGACGATATGAATCTAACAAGGATCTCGAGAGTGAACCAAGCATTGCAAACGCACTCGATGTAGAAGAACGCTATGTGAGCGTTCGTCTGCACTTTGTCCAATGCCCAACTCTGCGTCTGATTGGCTGTGGTGACTGTGTAGTTTCTAATCACTGGTACCCTCATGTCAGGATGTGTTTTCAGACAAAACGATATTATGGATACGCATATGAAAAACACTGATATCACTCCAATTATCTGCAAAAAATAATAATACATAAAAGTCAAAAAAATGATTTGGCATGTAAATGATACGATTGACATTTTAATAATACAATGGATTGAGTTGCTCCAGTTGCTCTGATAACGTGCAATAGATAATATTTCCTTTTATCAAAATATTAAATTACAGACAATGGTGTAAATTTATTAAATTTAGAACCGTTACGGAAATGCTTGAGGCATTGGACCGGAATCAATAAACAAATTTCGTTAAGGAATTAAGGCTTAAGGCTTCGTCGGTTTTCGTTAAATGTTTGAAGAATCTTGACATTGTTGTGTCACTCGGAATGACGAAATATGTTAATCTTGAGTAAGTATCAAGTTGAGGGAGTTCACGATTGTCACAAATGCCGAGTTCAAGTTATATTCTAATTAGCATTTCGAATTGTAATATTTCAGCTCTCAGGAAAGCTCTCTCCAATTGTTCTAGAATATTTTAACATTTCATAAACGTAAATAGATAAGAATTTCGTATTAAATTCAACGTTGTGAAATATTTATCTCGCTGTCGGGGTCGACAATTGACTTATTTTAAAAAAAAGTTTTCTGAACTTCATGAATTCAAATGAATTTAGAAAACTTGAAGAATGAATGTCTCAAGAATTTGGTTTGCTTTTAATTTAATTATTTTCTGAATATAACACCAAAATCTCAACCTACAACTCAAATGTTATTGTGATATCATAAAAAATGTAAGCGACCAGGAATCCATAATGTCAGCTCACCTTAGCAGCATTAGAGCTGTATGGTTCATCAAATAACGACCACATCTGTGGTTTCAGTTGTTGCCACCACGATACTGTGCCATTGTAGTAATCCTCCTCGAAACCAAATTTCCTCGCCACCTCTTCGTCCGAGGGCTTCTCGGTGTCAAGGTCTAAGCGATCCAGTACAGCAAGAGTCTCTTGGGTGTCTCGATGCTGAGGACAAGAAACACTTTAAAGACGCATTGTTTTTTTGGATGGTCATTTACATTATATTGATTAGACACTAACATTATAGCAATTTTTTGAGTATCCGATATTTCGGCACTGTTGCAAGTGCCATGATCACGGACAAACAGGTCCTGGTATCAATCCCGCTAAATGCCATAATTTTAAGTCTTTCGTACCTGTAAATTATTTTTACATATCCACCACTTAGCATGGTCCCAGAAAAAATGAATATATTTGTGGTTGAATATTTATTGTAAAAATATATTTTAAACAGGCTGATAACATGCCCATGACTTATAGTGCGATTATATTTGGCCGTTAGCACTAATACGAGTGCCAATGGAATTCGGGTAAACGATTACGTGTAAATGAGCGGAGTCGAGCCCGTATTCGGGTAGTTTCTGTATTGGTTACCCGAGGAGCTCGATGGCGCAAATGATTAGCGCGTTCGGCTGCGATCGTTGAAGTTAAGCAACTTTCGCAGTGGTCGGTCATTGGATGGGTGACCAAAAATTTACTATCTCGAGTTCCTCCGTGCTTCGGAAGGCACGTTAAGCCGTTGGTCCCGGCTGCATCTGCAGTCGTTAGCACCCGCCAATCCGCACTGGGCCCGCGTGGTGGTCATGGCCCAATTTCCCTATTCCATCCATAGGGAAGGCATGTGTCCCAGCAGTGGGGACATTAATAGGCTGATGATGACCCGATTATTTATTATTCCGGCATTCCACAATGGCAGAGTATAGCTCAAGATAGAGAAAAGTGGCTATCTTTGGAAGATGCCTTTATCTGAGAGGGGTTCCTTACGGTTATTCACTAGTAATTAAGTAAATTTTGTCTTAATATATTGGTTAGTATATTTTAGATTAGCAATATTAGACAGTAAACAAGATAGATATTAAGTAATTTAGAAAGTAAATATATTTCTTTTTTTGTCAAAATGTACCAAGGAAATAAAAGGGTTTTTATTTTTATTTTTTTTATTTATTATTCCAGCATTTCACTTGGCTATTGGTATTTGTATTTTGTATACTTGATAACAGTCTATCCTTATCATTCGTTTTATGGAATGAAAAGGACAGACTGATGTCAAGTTTACAAAACAGCAAACACGAATAGCCAAGTAAAGTGCTGGTATCACTTACTCATCTCGTATTCATCATACAAACATTGCTTCACCGGGACACCTTAAAAAGCGGTATACCTTAGAACAAAAACTAAATCATAAAATATGTTTCAAGTCGACTCATATACATAGTTATCTTATTTTTACATATAGACTAGAAAAGAGACAAGTATATGTTATACTATGAAAAGCGTGCCTAAGTGCCACTTGATATTTTTGTCCTTTATACGCCTTGTGGTTTATCTTGGATACCTTAAGAATCAAGAAGTGGTTTAATAGCAAAATGCAATTTGCCAATATGCCACCAAGACGATACCAAAACGCAACTAATACTTTTTGGTCGGGTAATACGTATAGTGGCTATACGTATTACCCAATCAAAAAGTATTAGTCGCGTGATGGTGTCGTGATAGTAGCGTGGAACTAAATGACGTTTGAGCGTACACTTCATAGACTATAGTATAGGTTGGGTAATACGTATAGTCTATGAAGTGTACGCTCAAACGTCATACAGTTACACGCTAACAACACGACACCAACACGCCACTAATACACTTTGGTTAATTAATACGTATATTCTATGAAGTGTACGCTCAAACGTCATTTAGTTCCGCGCCACCATCACGACACCAACACGCCACTAATACTTTTTGATTGGGTAATACGTATAGTCTATGAAGTGTACGCTCAAACATCATATACATAGTACCACGCTACCATCACGACACCAACACGCGACTAATACTTTTTGGTAAGTTAATACGTATATTCTATGAAGTGTACGCTCAAACGTCATACCGTTACACGCTACCAACACGACACCAACATGCCACTAATACACGTTGGTTGGGAAATACGTATAGTCTATGAAGTGTACGCTCAAACGTCATACCGTTACCCGCTACCAACACGACACCAACATGCCACTAATACACGTTCGTTGGGTAATACGTATAGTCTATGAAGTGTACGCTCAAACGTCATATAGTTCCACGCTACCAACACGCGACTAATACTTTTTGGTTGGGTAATACGTATAGTCTATGAAGTGTACGCTCAAACGTCATATAGTTCCACGCTACCAGCATGACACCAACACGCGACTAATACTTTTTGGTTGGGTAATATATATAGTCTACGAAGTGTACTTTTAAGCTCGAACGCCTTATAGTTCTTGTTCTGAGCGGTATACACCCCACTCCACCAAGGATGTAGTCATTCAGAGTGATTGAATATTATATTAATTTGGGTGCTTTGAACGGCTACAGGCTCTATCTACTGTAATACCATACCATCAATCACTCTGATGGATTTCCCAGCATTTATTTACAAGTGTATATTGAATTAAGGTTTGTGTCGGTTCAGTTGGTAATATTTAGTTAGTGTTATTTTAGAATTTTCGCATTTGTCATGTCATGAATTGTCGCATTGGAAAAATGAGAAATAGTGTCAGCTTTTCTTTCATACTCAAAAGATGACAAATTAAATGTAATAGGTAGACAGTTGAAATTTTCACATAGCTGGTACAGCAGTTATAAACTGCCACACCAACCATCCTCACCTTGCCGGCCTGCAAAAATGCTTCTTCATGCCTCTCTTAAAGGACCCCAGATTGTAGGAAGAAGGGAACACGTTCGAGGGCAAAGAATTCAACTTGCGAATAGTACGACAAAGAAATGAGTCACCAAATTTCTTTGTTCGTGTAGGAATAGTGGCCACAGTAAGTCGGTGACAACATAGGCTAGCGCGCGTGGTTGTCTGAAGAAAAGGTGATGGTGGGAAAAGGGAGAATAACTCCTCAGAACACTCGTCGTGGTATAGTCGGTAGAGTGCGCTTAATGATGCCACATTGTTACGTACCTTAATAATCATCCCATGGTTTCGACTATCATAGGTTCCATTTCGCACATTTTATCATATAACATCATCGATATTCATCAGGCATCATCATATATTTTATTATGTATTTCTGGAAACACATAATTTCAAAAATATCACACACTATTCATCATTTTGTAAATATGTATAATAATTTCTTCTGTACTGAAATTCACTATCCCAGAGTGCTGGACACTTACCGGCATTTCTCTTTATTCTGTTATTTACTTGTTTTCATTAATTTTGCTTCGATTTTATCGATTTTTAGTTTATTTATTTTATTGACATTTATGACAACAATGTTTTTTATCCGTTGTCATGGCTACCCATGACACGGGAGCGCTTCTGCCTCCTAGGAGTGCCGCCCGTCTGCCGGCAGCACGTCCTCCAGACCCAATTCTCAACAAAGAAGATCGCCGACGACCCACGCCCACTTCACACTCCACACTTCACACTCCACACTTCACACACACCATACCCCAATTCTTTTTTTTTTAATCTATAAATACTTCTTATTCTTGTAAATATATATATTTTATATTTGTGTCTTAGGTTTTCACGCACATCACTCATTAAATAAAACTAGTTTTTACGGGTTAATGCACGAAACTTTATTTATTTATTGACGTTGAGGCTCAATAAAAGTCTTTCGAAGGTAGCTCGACAAATTGAATAAAAGTTTTATTCTGACGACGTAGCCTGTAAAGGCTACGAAACGTCAATAAATAAATAAAGTTTCGTGCATTAACCCGTAAAAACTAGTTTTATATATATTTTATAATCTCTACCTGTTTTCTTTCTTTTTATTTTGTCGCTACACGACAACATCGCGGCGTAATTTTGCTTCCCCAGAGGGGCGTTCCAATTCAAGCGGGAAACCCTCTAAGTCCTACCTCTCTTAAATGCGAATATACATATAGATCGTTGCTTTTTCGCTTTTTATTACATTCCTAAATCATCAGAAACCGCATGAAATAAACTGAAGTAAACCCTACGGCGCACAAGCAACGCTTTGTTAAGAAAAAATGATAAAATAGACTTTTTTTATGAAAAACTATGACACGAGAAAATATCAAAAGCGTGCTTTTTATATTTCAGTTCAGCCGCCGTCGGCTATGTAGGTCAGATTGTTAATGTAAACTTTGAACTCGCACTGTAGCTGAAGTTAAATACGAGGGCGTTACATTAGGCACGATATGCTAAATTGTTGTACAATAATAGTTATTTATACAACTGTTGTATAATGAGGGGTATTAACATACGCAAGTGGGTTTATCACACGAGGCGAAGCCGAGAGTGATTAAAGTATCACATAAATGTTTTAAGAGGAGCTCGATGGCGCAAGTGGGTAGCGCCTTCGGCTCCGATCATTGAAGTTAAGCAACTTTCGCAATGGTCAGTCATTGGATGGGTGACCAAAAATTTACTATCTAGAGCTCCTCCGTGCTTCGGAAGGCACGTTAAGCCCGGCTGCATCAGCAGTAGTTAGCACCCGTCAATCCGCACTGGGCTCGCGTGGTGGGTCATGACCCAACCTCCCTATTCCATCCATAGCGAAGGCTTGTACCTCAATAGTGGGGACATTAATAGGCTGATGATGATGAATGATAAATGTTTTAATACCTACCTGATTATAAACAGTTACATACAGTTATTTTGTAAATTATAGACGACCAAGGTAATTATGGACTAAATAATAATTATGCTTCAGTTCAATGTCCTCGTAGTATAATTAACCAAGTACTGACCTTCTGCTATAAAGAACTATCGAACTTCGTATAATAAGGATCATTACAAGGTCAGCAAATCAACTCAAAATCAAAAGTATAATGATCTTATAAGCTTTTCGAGAGTCAAAAAAGAATATATTTGGTCTAACGATATGAGTTTACAATTACAAAAGCTTAAAACTACTACGTAAGTATAGTTACTAAATAGAAAAAAAAATCGACGGATTGCACTCCTGGAATGCCGGCAGAAGTGA